GCTGTTGATCGCCATAGTGTCCCTTCAAAACAAATGGTCAATTTGCATTTTTCTTTCCTGTATTAGAATATACAAAGATATAATTTTCAGGAATGGGAAAGCATCTAATCAAAGGGCTGTCAATCAACACACAAAGGGGAACTGTATGCTCTGTAGATTACCTGCATATTATAACATAGTTCTCCATTGTCTACTCAAAGATGGTTGCCGTGATAGCAGCTAGTGATGTCAGTGAATTAAAAAGACAGTCGGACAAGATTGAGACTTTTTCCCCATAACTTGGTTTGATAGCGAAACCCCCATTCAGATGGTTCTGACTGCTCATTTAGATGAAACCAAATCTTCGTGTTTATGTTCATACACAGTTAACCTAAATCACCTGTACCTGTATTTGGATTGGTCTGATTCATTCTGTTTTACCATGAGAAACAAACGCCATCGTAATACACTTTCCGCGAATCCTAGTGGATTAAAAATTCAGTTTGCCCACACATGAAAATCGTGTACACATTAACGGTGTCTGCTCTACCAGATGAACTATAAAGCCTCTGAATAGTTTGCAGCTTTGGCTTTGGTTGGTGCAGCCCACCTTCCAGGCTGGGCCTGAAGGGATGAGAATTGCTGTTGATTAGGTATGCTGAGAGATATGGCCTAGAGTAGCAGTCAAAAGCGAAGCTCTATCCTCAAAGACGGGCCAATTTAGAGAGAACTAAGACGGTTCAACGTTTCTCACAGCCGATCTACTCAACTTCTCTTCGAGCCGCTGTTTGACTGATAGAACCGGAACCGATTTATCACCAAGATGAGATCGATTTACTTCAGTTTTTTTGATTAAACATACCTCATAAGCTAGTTACTATGTTACCATCCGTTTATTATGAGCTACCTGTAACAAATAAAAATTTCATCATTTTGTATCGAAAATAATTCTCAGTTCTCTCAAGAATCTCATTTCTTTGTCACAGGCAAAATGTGCCCCAGGAAGAATACCATCGAGTTCGACTACTTCTGAACGACTTAAAACGTCGTCACGACGAATATCGATCGATCATACTCGGCCCTGCACATCCATTTCTAATTCAATCGGTTCCAACTCGATTTTCCATGGACAGCCCGATGAAATGGAACAGCGAAGTTATCGCACAGGGTGCGCAACCATTCGGTCCCCCCAGATGGAAATCAGCTGAAGTACGTTAATCTGGGTACCTTTGAAATGATTTTCAAACTAATTCGAGGTATCAGTGAGTTTCCATGTTTTATGGGGCAGTACTTTTTCTACATAACAGTGAGCATCTATTCAAAACGTGAAATAGCTAAATTTAAGTGTCCTGTATTTTTCTGAAAGTTTCTGTCTCATGATAGAAAACTTCAGTCTTTGGACCAGATTGACGTGTAAAACTTTCCAGTTAGTTAACCTTATGATCTAATAGCCCATACCCGATGTAAAACCGAATAATAATATTCACCTTATTTTTCAGACATCCACTGAACCCAGACGGGGCAACAGTATACGGGCTCGCAGCCGGTCACATTCACCCCAGACACGATCACACCCGGAGGGCAGTTTGTAATTTCAACACCATACGCCACCACACAAAGGGAACTTTGGCCTTTTCATATCATCCATACCTGCATATCTCTTGATTGTCATTATCCTCATGCCTTATCTGATGATTACTTCCTTGTGCCTTTTTCTGGTAATGTAATTTCTTTTAATTACCATATACACTGTGAGTATGCATCAAATCATCAGCCTGTGCATTTTTCAAATGAAAGACATCTTGTTTTTCAATCTGATCAATTTATTGGTACTATTTTGTCAGTGGAAAATAAAAATGTCAATAATTCTACTGAAAGGTTACTTTAGAAGACTTCACTTGAAAGTTTGGATGCCTTCTGACAAATAAACATCAGAAACCTCACAGCAGTCGACGATAAAATAGATCGTTGACAATCTACAGTTGAGACCCAAGAATCTTATACGACTGAAAATAGACTGGGTTTGTCACGATCAATATTCTGATGATGATAGCAATTTTTATTTCAGTTCAGTTTTTACGACCGTTAACCATATATTTTCGTGCGCCAGTTTTAGTTGCTGTCTTTTGACTGACCATTTGGATAAACGAACAGAGGGAAGAGTGGAATGTTGTGGGCAGAGTCAAAGAAAATAAGGAACTATAATGGACCACGGCTGCAAATTTAATGAGTAGATGCAGGAGTGCCACAGTTTGCTGCATTCGGCCACATCATTCGATGTCTCTAACCACCGGCTACGATGATCTCGAGGTCCTTATCCAGGAAGTCTAACGGGACATATATGACTGAGTTTCATGGTTAGTGTTATCAAAACTTATCCGTACAAACAGACGTAGACGATTAGTGCGCAGAAAAAAACCTTAAACCTTTGTAGGACATCCAGCGTTGCTTGTTTTTGCTAACAATTTGTGGGTTCAACAGTTGTCTTTGTCTGAATTTTCATCCGGAAGACGTTTATATCCAATACCTAATCCGAATTCGCACGACACTTTCTGCGCATCCTGGGATACGTTGGAAACACTTTAATAAATGATGTCATTCTTGTACACATTTGGGATATATTGTATTTATACGCGCCACAGTTGTCGAACAGAATTATGTACGACGATATGCCTTGGAACAGAAAACAATAAATAAAAAGTAAACGATGTCAGTAGTGATCAAGCTCTTCTTCATCTCAGCCATCCTGGAATATTACGGTTGTGTTGTCTGATGGCGGTATGTAGGGCCCATAATACTAGCTCGAACGACTAGCGACTGTTTCTCACTGTTGGATAACTTTGATTTAACCGCGATATGAATGGGATTTCAGGACGAAAAATGTGAAATCCTAGTTATTGCTACTTTTTCGTGCTTAACGCGCCGGGTTTCTTGTGGCAGATCCGTTTTGGTTTACATTATTGCAAAGAACACAAGATTGACATTTATTACTCTAGAAACCACGTGGAGGTCAACAGATGACGTGGAAGCGAGGCATGAAGAAATGCACAGAGCCATTAGGTAGAATAAGTGTCTCCCATCTTCTAGGTTGGGGTCCGGAAGACTACAACTGGTTGACTGGAGACACTGAAGGATTTGGTAACTAACCGACAGCAGAGGCTTTGCTGTCATTTCTTCTCAGTCCAGAATGCTTAAAAAGGTATGTATCCATGGTTATATTGTGTACTCTGTGTTGACTATAGAGGTTCACTTTTTTGCCTCCCTCCAAGTAGACTCAGTCCCTATCCATCTCATACTCAAACACTTAATTTTTTCATGCCTTGGCAGCGATCAACAAATTTCGCTTCACTGTATCTCGCTGTACGATGATGATTATTATTACTCCTATTTATTTTCCCCAAGCATACTCTAATTTCATTCACTGTGCTGAGAGTTGAATCTCTTACCTATGTCAAGCATACATGAACAGGCAGTTTAGTTATATATATA